CAGAGAGCCAGGATGAGCCGTCCATAGAAAAGATTCTAATAAATTCAGAAGAAAAAAAAAAAAATAGTTAACTGACTTTATGAAAGGCTAAACAAATGTAAGAACATTTTACCATTGATGAGTATGCTCTTTAGAAAACAGAAAACTGTGTATGCTGTTTAATTCCCATACTCAGGTTCTTCCTAACAGACCAACTGAATAATGGAATAGAGAGTTCGTATTATCACTTATATTTTGCATCTTAGACATGTGAGCTCTTCATTGACTAGACTGTGTTTATTAAACAGCTGGGTTGGATGGGGTCCCTTTAGAGTGAGCAACTTTACTCATGTATAGACAACAGTAGAAATCTAGATAGTATTTGAAATCTAGATAGTTTGAGATACTCAGATATGAAATAATTTGAAAAAATTATTCAGGACAGTATGTTATAGCTGAGTTTTAAAATACCTTCCCATTCTCCTTGTCCAGATGGCTCAGGAAAGGTAACTGCTAGTGGGCTGAGGTGTAACGCACCAGTGCTGAGCCTGTGTCTCTTGGGAGTGAGTGTAGTGAAAGAAGGAATATCTTGCCACTTTTGTGTATCCAGTCCAGATGGCTCAGGAAAGGTAACTGCTAGTGGGCTGAGGTGTAACGCACCAGTACTGAGCCTGTGTCTCTTGGGAGTGAGTGTAGTGAAAGAAGGGATATCTTGCCACTTTTGTGTATCCAGTCATACTGGCTCTTCCTGTTCTGTGTGTCCAGTGATGCTGGCTCTGCTCTTCCTGTTCTGTGTGTCCAGTGATGCTGGCTCTGCTCTTCCTGTTCTGTGTGTCCAGTGATGCTGGCTCTGCTCTTCCTGTTCTGTGTGTCCAGTGATGCTGGCTCTGCTCTTCCTGTTCTGTGTGTCCAGTGATGCTGGCTCTGCTCTTCCTGTTCTGTGTGTCCAGTGATGCTGGCTCTGCTCTTCCTGTTCTGTGTGTCCAGTGATGCTGGCTCTGCTCTTCCTGTTCTGTGTGTCCAGTGATGCTGGCTCTGCTCTTCCTGTTCTGTGTGTCCAGTGATGCTGGCTCTGCTCTTCCTGTTCTGTGTGTCCAGTGATGCTGGCTCTGCTCTTCCTGTTCTGTGTGTCCAGTGATGCTGGCTCTGCTCTTCCTGTTCTGTGTGTCCAGTGATGCTGGCTCTGCTCCTCCTGTTCTGTGTGTCCAGTGATGCTGGCTCTGCTCTTCCTGTTCTGTGTGTCCAGTGATACTGGCTCTGCTCCTCCTGTTCTGTGTGTCCAGTGATACTGGCTCTGCTCCTCCTGTTCTGTGTGTCAAGTGATGCTGGCTCTGCTCCTCTTGTTCTGTGTGTCCAGTGATGCTGGCTCTGCTCCTCCTGTTCAGGAGAGACAAGGGGGTCACTGAACATGCTTGTTCAGTGGTTGTTGCCAGCCATGCCCTCCATCTGGAGCTTTACCTTTCTGCTGAGAGTGACCTATACTGATTCAGACCTTTTATTAGCATAATTTTCATATTCAGTCTTGCTTTTCCCTTACTGCCTAGTTAGGTTACAAAAGCTTCTTGATAAAGTAAAAAGGAAAAAAAAAACCTAGGAACCTAATTATGGAAGTGAATCTTAGTAGCATATGATAAAAGTGCCCAGAAAAATTGGATTAACACGTTGATAGCTTGTTAGAAATCGAAACATTAACACACCCAAGAAAATATGAAAAAACCAGAATCTTTCCTGGCTTTCATTTATGCCTGAAGCCAGGTGCATGAATCTAGTTAGCTTTGTAGTTTTATGGAAACACTCCTTTTCTGTCTGTCTCCCTCCCTCTCTGCCTACTTCCATCAGTCTCTACCCTGTATCTCTCTACTGTGTCTGTCGATGGAAAGAAGCAAATGGAGACTTTTGAGTATGAGTCTGTGTGTGTGATGTGATCTAAGATACATCTTGTAAAGATCGCTGTGGCTGCTGGGTAGTGATTTTTATGGTTTTGTTGTTTTCTGGGGGGCCAAGAGCAGAAGCAGCTAGAGAGGAAAGGAGTCCGTGTATCAATCCTGGTGGGAATGAGCAGTGGCTTAGACAAGGTGGTAAAGTAGAATGTGTGGAATCAGGACAAATGTTGCTAGTGGTGCCTCAACACATGACATGTGAAACAGGAGTTAAACTTACTGAGATGGGCAAGGCATGGAGTAATCAAAGAGCTCTGTCTACTGGGGAAGAGGTGCATGTAAGAAGTCCAGGAGACTCAAGAGGAGGTGCTTGGTGACTCCCTATCAAGAGAGGATTTACAGGATGGGAACTTTGGAGGCTTCATATGTGAACATTTAAACCCTCGGCATTAGATATGCAGATAGTGGTCACCACTTTGACATTAAATGTCAGAAGAGGAGGAAGAGCAGGACAGTAAAATGGAAAGGTATGCCCAGAAGGCCAATAGGGAAAGCCAGGGGGAGCCTGATGATTTGAAAGATAAGGAGGGAACAATTGGATCAGAGTGTGAAGAGACAGAACAAGGACTGGAATTGAGCATTGAATTTGCAGAAACGGAGGTCACTGGCAAAGCTGATTGGACTGGATTGGATTCAAGAAAGATCCTAAAGGTGAAGTAGAGACCTAAATGTGCTGTTTGAGGTATGAATAGTAGTTAGCTTGACAAAAGTAATTCGTTCCCTTATTTGAAGTTTAGAGGAGGTATTTCTCAGTAACAGCTGGTGTGTAGACATTAGGGAGTTATCCAATTGGAATATAAACGAAAAGCCAGTTTCTTGACTTTGCCCTATGTTAGAAACTATTTCCATTTTCTACCTCAACCAGCATCGTTGGTAGAGTTTTGCTTGCTTGCTCTTATTTCTTTGGTTTGTTTTATTTTGGAGTTTTTATGCTGTAGTCCAAGTTGTCCTGAACCTCATTCTGTAGCCCAGGCTGCCCTTGATCTCTCAGCATCCTCTTGGCTTGGCCTCCCAAGTGCTGGGATTACATGCATGTGCCACCACACTTGGCTCATCATTGATGTTTGCAGTGAGGATTTTTGAAATATATAACCATCATATATAAAATAATTTTGTATGTTGGTATGATTTTAAAAATACCTCATATATTTTCATACAGGTAAAATCAGTGATTTTTCTAAGTTCATTATTTTCTAGCAAGAAACTGGGATAATTCCTTTACAGAAGCTTTTCTTTAGGAAACAACTTCTGTTTTAAATCATAGCTTAAAAAATAACGCTGGGGACAGAGAGCATGCTAACATGCACGAGGAGACCCTGGCTTCAATTCCCAGCATGTCAAAAACAAAAACAAAAACAAAACAAAACGAAGCAAAAAGTAAATGTATCCAAACTTTCAGTCAAAGCCTTCTACAAAAACTCATGCAGTTTGTTTTCCACAAGGGGGCGCAATGGGAATGTAATTGGAGTTTTGCCTTCACAGGGCTTATCTGTGCCTGCATCCAGTCCTCAGTGGGGTTATTTCATTCTTTCCAGAGAAGAATCTCCAAGGGAAAACAAAGGGAGAAACCTGTCAGAGGAGACTTGTTTTCCATTCTTCCCCCAAATTCATAGAATTAAAGGTAGCAAGCATAAAATCAGTAGCATTGTGTTAGATCAGTACAGACAGAAGAGATGTAATGAATTAACATGCCGCTTTCATAGTAGCAAAGAAATCATGAAGTTCTTGTGAATAAACCTAAAAAACTATACAGAGCTTTTATAGGGGGAATAGTTATCAAAGAAGGTAAATGAAGCCTTCAATAAAAGGAGGCCTATACTGTGTTCATCAGGAAGATAAGCTAGTTCTTTCCTAACTAGTTTATGAATTCTGTGATTCTTCTCAGTTAAGATCTCAACAGTAACCGTAGATCACAGGTTAATGGGGAAATGGGTAGGCTATTTCATGTAATGCACATTGTTTATTTTTCTGAGGTGGAAGGAAAGAGGGACTCTTTTCTCTGTCTCACATGTAACCACAGTACAAGAACAGCAAAATGAATATTAGTGCAGTCTCTCCCTTAGGCTGTGGAAACATGAGTTCTTCACAGACAGCAGACTTGCTCTCATTGCTGGGCCTGCACATTCTGTACTTTGGCTCCCCCTGACCATTTTGAGAAATCCTTACGCTACTTAAGAAGTCTCTTGAGATTCCTCTCTCTCTGAGAAAGCCTCCCTCACTAAGCTTAAGTTTCTAGTGTCTGCCTCCTCAGAGCACAGTGCATATCGCAATCAAACAAGTCCTGCTCAAACACCTGACAGTACCTCTTTGTTTCTTGCAGGTGAGGGAGTTTAATGGGCAGCACTTTATTTTAGAGGAAGCGATCACTGGGGATTTTGCTTTGGTGAAAGCCTGGAAAGCAGACCGAGCAGGAAACGTGATCTTCAGGTAATGTCATATTTAAAAAAAACAGTAATATAGGCTTTCCAGTCTGTGCCTTGCATGCTGAGCCCTCCCCCTAACCTCCTGCTATATATTCAAATGGCTGGGTTGTAGCTTACTGGGTAGAGAGCTTGCTTCATATGCCTTGGCCCTGGGTTCCATTCCCAGCATCACCAAAAAAGAAGAAAAAAAATTAATATGATATGTGTAAACAACTGTGTTTTCTAAATTATGATTGCACAAAAGGATAGTACAATGATTTTGTTCTCTGACTGACCACTCCTTTAAAATGGCTTAGTTATACACACCTGTGTGTACCCATGTGTACAGAAATGCATGTAGTACCAGGTGATCTTCATGCTATACAGATCTGTTTCTATTAATAGATGCCTATGTTGTTTGTACTGCTTGTTAAATAATTGAATATAGGGCTGTGGATGTAGTGGAATTGGTAGAGTGCTTGTCTAGCATTTACCAAGCCTTGGGTTTCATTCCCAATAATGCATAAACTGGGCATGGTAGTACACACTAGAAATCCCAGCACTTGGGAGATGGAATTAGGACGATCAGAAGTTCAAGGTCAAACGTACTACATTGTGAGTTTGAGGATAGCCTGAGATACATGAGACCCTGTCTCAAAAAAAAAAGGACCTGTATGCCCTAGTACCTAGCCACAGTTATTTTTTCCATGTTCATATTTTAGTTGTGAAGACAAACATGACAAGATATAATTTTAATATTGCTAATTTTGTACGTTGTTTTTTTTTTTAATATTTTATTTATTTTTATTTTATGGGTATGAGTGTGTTGCCTGCATGTCAGTAAGTGCAGTGCCCATGGAGGTCAGAAGAGGGTATCGGATCCTGTGGAAGTGGACTTATGGATGGTTGTAGCTGCCGTGTAGGTGCTGGGAATTGAATCTGGGTTGCAGCCAGTGCTCTTAATTTCTGAGCCATCTCTCCAGGCCCTTGTACATTGTTTTAAAATTGTCAAAGTTGATATTTTGAAAAAAAATGCTAATGCTAATTTGGCTCCGTTCTTTTCTTCTGCTGTTGAAGTCTCCCAGGAAAGGCTTACAAGGTTCTGTCTAGAAAGCTGATTATCTTTCCTAATGCTGAATTTTCATTCTCATTATATGGATAGCCACAGGCTTAGTTGATTTTAACATCTTTTGATTATCCTCTGCATACTAAACTCTTAAGTAATTATAAGTATTTAGTGTCTTGAATTTATAGATTAGATAGTTACGTTTTGAAAATTGGACCACTTGTGACCATGCAGAGGAGATGATCCCCATGGCCTCTTAGGTTACAGAAATCATTTTCTGCTTCATAATTTTGTTATTTTCTGCTGTTAATGAATAATTTTTATTCTTTGCAAATAACAGTTTTTGTCTTCAACCACAGTAAATCTCATATTTTTGTTTATTTCTGAAGAATATGATATTGATGCTCTAATTTTTTGAAACTCAGCTGTGTTTTTGAAGGATAGCTACTTTTGGCAATTATAGGGAGACATCTTACATTATCACTGTTTTATTTGACTGTTATTGTCATTTGCATAGTTTAGATGCTTTATAAAAAAGATGAATGAAATTATATTAAAAATGGCAATGAATTATTTAAAATATTTCTGAGACTTTATCTTGTGTTCCTTTGTCTGGCCCTGGCATCTAAAGATTTTACTTGGGCCATTTTAAGGTTGACTTTATGCTTGTGGTTACTGAGCTTCCGTGTGAAATGAAAGCAAGTCAAGTAAGTGGTTTTCGATTCTTAGGATGCTGCCCTCACCTTCAGCTGGTCAGCTGCTCCAGACATCTTCTTAGGCCATTGCTAACGTGGAGCTCTGGACTCCTCACCTCTGGCCACTCTGCCTTTTCTGCTTTAAAAAAAATGTTTTCTAGCGGGCGTGGTGGTGCATGCCTTTAATCCCAGTATTTGGGAGGCCGAGGCAGGCAGATCTCTGTGAGTTCAAGGCCAGCCTGGTCTACATAGTGAGTTCTAGGACAGCTGGAGCTACAGGGAGACCCTGTCTCAAAAAGACTAAAAAAAAAAAAAGAAAGAAAAAGAAAATGTTTTCTTTATTATTTTTATTTTATGCTTGAATGTTTGTAAGTACACCTGTGTCATATAGTGCCCACTGGAGGTTAGAAGATGGTTTTGGAGCCCCTGGGACTGGAGTTACAGATGGTTGTTAGCTGCCATGTGGGTATTGGGAACTGGACGCTCTTCCTCTACAACAGCATCCAGAGCTCTTAACACAGAGCCACCTCCAGCTTCTTCCTTTCTCTTTTTTTTTTGTTTTGTTTGTTCTTCCTTTTATTACATTTTGTGGTTCAAGGGATGAAGCCCAGGTCTTGGTATATAGCAAGTAAGCATTCTGCCACTGAGCTAGATACCTAATTCTTTCTACTGTCTACAATATATATATATTTTTTTTACTGTCTAAAATATTTTAATCACAGTGAGTTTCTTGGTGAAATATTTAACTATGGAAACAAAGTTCAATCCCAGTTAGAAGATTAAGGAGAATTTATTTCAGATAAATATGTATTAATACTCCTTATATTCTTCTGTGTAAAAACTATTGATTGAACATGAAAAGTAGTCCTTTCTTCCACCCCTTATAAAAACCATACAAACTGAGTGAAATGGCTGTGATAGTTATAAATTTTCGATAGTGTAAAAGCATGCATTCCTTGTAAAACGATTTGTGGATTCTTAGTAGAAACTCTTTTAATCCACATTTTTAAAGTTAAAATAGCTGGCTTCTTATTTTTCACCTTTCTCCATTCTCTTATGTCCTCTATGTCTAATGTAGGAAAAGTGCAAGAAACTTCAACTTGCCAATGTGCAAAGCTGCAGGAACCACGGTGGTAGAGGTAAGAAAAGAGGCTTTTCTGAAGTTATATTGTGAATTATTTAAAACTTGATGCTATGAATTAGTTAAAAATCTTGATAGTCTGCTGGACAGCATTTTTTGTGTTACATATAGAGAGATTCTCATGCAATCTAAATGCTGGTGAAATGACAGCTTTCTGGTCAACTGCAGGCTCACTAGGATGCTGTGCTGTCTTTGGTAATGTAGCCAGCTTATTAAAGTCATTTGGTCTTTGAATAAAATAGGGTGAAAATCCTCAGTTGAATTGATATTCAGTATGTGTTGCCTAATGACAAGATACTGTCTGAGAAATACATTGAGAAATGATCTTGCCACTGTACAAACATAGACTGGACTTACGTAAACTAAGGCAGTTATATGACTTACCCATATAATCTTATGGGATCACTGTAGTTAACATATGTTACTGACCAAAATGCTGTTATGTGGTGCATGACTGTATATGGAATTCTAGGAAAGTAAGAAATTATTCTGCTGGGAGTTGACTGCCTTACTGAGGTTGATACTGAGGATTCTTTAATGGGGAGGGTTGTACAAATAATTTCTGTAATGTGTCTACTTAGAGTAGTTGAATTCAGGCACTGACTGACATCTTTGGGCATCTTGTGTTTGGGAGAGGTTTGGACAGTTCCAGAGTCTTTTTAGAGTTAAGGATCTGTGATGGAAGTAGGTGCTTAATCCAGCTCCCTGCCTTTTGGGATATACATATTTGAACTCCAAAGCAGACTTCAAATCCTCAATTTGGCTTTAAGAATCACTTTGGAACCAAATGTTCATAGAATTTTGAGGTAGTCTTCCTCTGGGAAGATTTAGTAGGAACTCACTTTGAGATCTGTATGTGTGAATACATGTTCCTAATTTTTCACCTGATGGTCATGTTGTGTGAAGTGTTTGATTCACAGTTGGCTAAGATGTTACTTCGTGGAGACTCTTCGTGGGTATCTTTTGAAATAGGTGAATGTTAGAGTTCTGTTCCTTTCATAGGAAGTGAAGTATGGTATTTCCACAGTGCTGGGAATGTGGTACTTTCCATCTAGTCAATGGCTTTAGTGTTTTTTGTGCATTAATAATGGATCATGTGGTTTACCCTGTGTAGCTTGTTTCTTCCTTATTGAACTAGTCCATGCCATACATCTGTAGCATTATCGATGAAAGGCCTACTATGTAGCTTAAAATAATGCTAGCTTAATAAAGCATTAATTTTATATACTTCTACAAATCTACTAGAAACTGGCATTTCTTTGTGTAGAGGGATATATATATATATATATATCCTGGGTCAAGTTCTATTTTAATTTTTGTCCTATTATAATCTGGTTCTTTTCAGCTACGTTTATTTCTTATAGGAGCAAAAAACAACTTCCTGGTGTCTACGAGACTTTATAGGTAGAAAGAAGTCTCTTTGGATGTAAGGGGAGAGAAAATTCTTAAACTGAGCCTGCAGATAAAATAAAGGCTGTCCCTCCCTGTTCCAGAACAGAATTTTCTACCCCATCATAGCATTCTATTCTGGCAGGTCCAGAACCACATTAGGATCCCGTTATACAGTGCTGCGGGCAGCCACTCCTAATTGACGACACTGCCTAATAGGTTATCCACTAGCACTATATGACTTTTAAAATTTACATTAATTATAGATTAAATACAGAATAAACTCAGTTTCTCAGTCACATTCAAGGGCTCCCTAGCATCTTGTGCCTGGTAACTCCTATGTTTACGTATGTTATGATCATCATAGGAAAATTTCTTGAATGGAGTTGAATGAAAAGAATCATGATGAAATCCACATATCACTGTAGTTTAGGAATTTAAGCAGAACAGCTTACAGCAATAAGATTATTGATTGTAAGCCCACCTTTGCACGTTTATATAGAAGGGTCCACATGGACATAGATTAAATTTGAAGAGCTAGGTTCTCCAAAGGGGAAAATAATTTGAAATCGGGGTAGTGCCTAGGTTGTTCATTTTCTGATGTGCAGTTCTGTTGTAACTTTGTGATGTGTGTATTATTCTGAGTCTGGTAAGACCTGTAGAGCTGTGCCCTCGCATTGTGCTCTGTGTTCAACGTAGTCTGTCTTCAGATCATTATGATCCTTTTCTTCAAGCCCCTGTTGCTCTGTTTTATAGTAGTTCTAGCAGAATGGATACTTGTGAATTCATCACATGTGGTATTTGAAAAAATCTTGAAAGATCAATTACATATTCTGCATGCTAAATGTTGACAATTATGATAATCAAGAATTTATTATGTGTCAGTCATTGCTGATTCCTTTTAAAAATTATTTTTATTTTACTTAGAGTGTTTACCTGCATATATGTGGGTACCCCTGGATGTGTAATGCCCACAGAAGCCTCAAGAAGATGTCAGATCCCCTGCAACTGGAGCTATGGATAGTTGTTGGCTGCTGTGTGGGTGCTGGGAAGAGCAGCCAGTGCTCTTAACCTCTAGCCCCCCACTGCTGATTCTTTATGTGTATTGTTTTAAATTTTCTCAATAGCCCTATGAGATAGGAACCACAATTATTCTTATTTTACAAATGAAGACTTTTAGGTTCAGAGAGAATAAATTATATACCCAAGGTTGCATAGCAAGGTAGAACCACAATAGAATGATAGCATTTGCTCTTTTTTTATTATTTGAAATACTTCTATTATTTTGTAAATACTTCAAATCACCCTCAATGGATGAAGTTTCCAATTTTTGAACCTCTAGGAGTGTAGACCATTTCATGCAATTGGAATTAAGCAACTATGTGGGGGTTTTTGTTTCTTTGTTTATTCAGTCTATTTCCAGCCTTCTTTACCACCTGTACCATCTAGCTTGAAGATGGCTTTGAGAAAAATGTCCTTCTCTGGGTAGAACCCTGTGGATTCACTCAGTGTTTCTCTTGGGTTCTGTTCGTTTTCCTGAGTGACTCTTTGATCTATATAGTTTGTCACAAATTTTCTCAAATCTGGTGACTGGATGTTTACTCTAATACTGCATACAGTATCTTTTGTTTGTTTTATTGAGACGGGGTCTCCCTGTAGCCACAACTGGCCTGGAACTCACCATGTAGACCAAGTTGATCATGATTTCACAGAGATCTGCCTACCTCTGCCTCCTGAGTCCTGGGATTAAAGGCAAGTGCCACATGTCCAGCTTGCATGCAGTATGTTAAGCGATGAGAACTATTGCAGCGGTAGATCCTACATTTTAGGTAGCAAAGACTTTACTGTGTCTTTTCTCATACAGGTGAGGAAATAAAGGTGTTTTCAGTGGCAGAATCTGGGTTACACACTATTTCTGGGAGCTCATTACAATACTTTTCCCTCCACAGTGCCTCTCAATGCCGTATCTCTTCAACCTTTCACCTAGCTTAAACTCAAATTTTTTCTAAGGATCACAGAGGTATAAGTATCTAAATATTAATGATTCCCTTAGATATCTTAAATTTCATTAGGGCTTTTATCCTGAGTTGTAAAGAAGCATATAAGCTACCGCTTGTTATTTTTTTAATTCTTTTTAATTAAATTTTTTTTTTTGAGACAGTGCCTTAACTATATGTATAGTCCAAACTGTCTTTGAACTCAAAATCTTCCAAGTGCTGGAATTAGAGGTGTGCACCACTGTATCTGGCTCAATTATGTGGTAATTAATTTATGATAAATGCTTTATATCAAGAAATAGATCAGAATGTTTATTTCAAATGAATAAGCAAAAATCACATTGCCTTTAATATAAATTGTTTTTAGACTGTATAAATAACATTGTTTGCAATTTTGGATGTATTTTCTCATTCTGATGCATTCTAAATGTCTTTATAAGATATAAAAGCAAAGAAGTGACCAGTGATTTTTTTTTTTTTTTTTTTTGTTAAGCAAAACTAATATGATTATCACACTTAAAATCAGCAGTCACCAAGTACTTCTCCAAAAAGTTGGGTCATAGTCAGTGCTGGCTGTTTCTATTCCTGTGAAGGCATAGGGTAGTTATTTGAGAGAAAAATAAGACAAGTAGGTATATATGTTGGCATACAAGCAGTCTTAATTCTGGACCTCCCTGTGAGTGGGTGAAGTCTTCCCTGATAAAACTTCACAAGTTAGTGAGCAAAACCAGCCATGGATGACTCCTCGTTGTCTTGCTGCATGTGCATGGTGAGGGGCAACCAGGGCTGTTGTGTCTCCTAGGCTGGTTCGTGTCAATCTTTAAATTCCCTGTCAGACTCTGCCAGTCTCCTGCATGCACAGCTGTCAGTCCTAGCTTTCTTTGGGAGATGGCCTATCTCTAGATCATCTTTTGTTTCTTGAAAGAGCTTAACATAGAAAACCTAAGGGAGGATTGGGTGTGCTTCCCTCAGGAGACTGTTGATAATACTCTCTTCTGCAAGCAGCCTGGCATGCACGTGCTGTCAGAAAAGGTCATCTGACTCAGCCACCGAAGGGTGCCTATGCCTCCTGTGACCAAAATAACTTGCTGGTTTGGTTTTCTTTGTGCTGTCAGGTTTGTGCTGAAGTTGATGGTATAAAACAGAGATTTACACAATGCCCTTTCAACTATTTTAGACAATTCCAGCTTCTAGTTAGAATAAGTATATTCATTATTGCAACTTAAATAAAATTGTTTCTATTATATAGTATTTATATTATATTGATACAGTTCCCTATGAAGGAATTGTTTGTATCATGTGATATTTGATGCACAAAACCATGTGAACCATCTAATTAAAGATTAGAGCCTGCCTCCTCCCCAGAGGTAACCATTATCAGAAAATTTGTGATTTTTTATTTTGGGGTGGGGGTCTTTTTGAGACAGAGTCTCCCTGTAGCTCCACCTGGCCTGGAATTCACTTTGTAGACCAGTTTGTCCTCCAATTCACAGAGATCTGCCTGCCTCTGCCACTCAAGTGCTGGGACTAAAGGCATGCACCACCATGCCCAGCATGATTTGTTTTTTTAGACCTACCCCCTTTTATGTTCTGTGTCATAAAGAGATATGAA